CCAGCAACACCTAAAACCTTAATATCATCAGCAAATTTATGTAATTTATGGACCATTCCTTTATCTATGTCATTGATTTAAATCAAAAAGAGCAAAGGTCCCAAGACTGAACCCTGAGGTACCCCACTTGTGACATTAATCCAGTTTTACTGAACTCCATTTGTAACAACCATCTTCAGCCACTCTTCTATCCAATTTGCTAACTTACCCCCCACACCTATAGTGATAATTGTTTTTAGAAGCCTTTTATGTGACACCTTGTCAAATGCTTTTTGAAAATCCACATACACCAAATCTACACTTTTACCCTCGTGTACATAAGCCGTAACCTTTTCAGAGAATGTCAAAAGATTTGTAAGGCAAGATTTTCCCTTGGTGAAATCAGGTTGACTATCCAATAAAATTCTAAACTTTGTTAAATGACTTTGCACTCTCTGCCTTCAAGAATTCACTCTTAATAAAAGTACATTATGTAGCTTTATCGGTACATCCTCCTACCATATGCAATACCTAACTCTGCAACTAAAGAAATTTTCATTTCCAAAATTATCAGCACACCCAATTCTGGTATTGAATGCAACCCTGGTTCTTTTAATGCTAGGTTCTGAATGTTGTCAAAGGTCTTAACAGTTTAAAACGTATTTATTGTAAAAACATATTATTGCTACTTGGGTATAAGTAACTTAGTAAAACAACATAAATATTATGCCCAATTTATGTATCATTAAGCTTTTCCACTGAGTCTATAATATCAAATAATGATGGGTTATTAGATTTGATGTTTTTGCAGTACTTTTAAAATAATATTAAAAGCTAAATTTCTCATAGTAATAGACCATCAGTGATTTGAAAGTGCAAATAAGTAGCGTATTTTGTGTAAACTTTACTCCACATTGTTTATTTTAACAATGCACAAAAAGTAGAGGTTACCAAATATCTCTTATATTTAGGAACCAGGAGAATGGTTTAACCCAGTAAGGGGATAATCCCTATATTGTCCCCAAAAATTGTGTGTCCCAGTTTTAAAGTTTGTGTGAAGCCCACAGAAACTTCCTTCACCAACAGAATTGTCAACTAACAGTGTACATGCAATATACATATTTATTGGGTAGCAGTCAAACATTAGAAAGCTAACGATCATTGCAGAATTGTGCCAGTTTAGACTTCCTTTACATTATCCCATTATTTGTTGGAAATTCAAATGCTCTACCCAACTTTTCTGTGGTGTTTCCTTATATTGAAAATATTACTGAATAAATAAAACAAAAACATTTTTAATTAAAAATTTCCAGGCACTAGGTCACTTTTTTTCAGATCATGGCAACCTGATGTCTAGGATTTGAAAAGCCCTGTGTATAACTATAAAGCTAACTTGTTCATCTAAATGTTTAAAACTACATTTCATTTTGAAAACTACTTATCATAGAGGTAAGCAACCATACATGTATTATTTCATTACCAAACATTACAGCAACAAACTAAAAACACCTTAGCCAAAATTATTAGAAAACATTTCTGCGAAAACTGAGGTACAGGAAGCTAGACCTAAAACATACAACTTTGGAATATAAATAAGAAAATCTTCTTTATTTCTATGAACTTATTTCAAGAATCATAGTAGGTATCTTTTTTAACATAACTCTTTATGTAGGACAAGCTTACATAAAGTTTATAATTTTTTATCCGACAAAAATTTTTCCTGAAATTCATTTTAAGTTACAGAAACACTGATAAGTAAAAACTGTTAATATCTGACTTACAGAAATCTAAATCCAACATTAAAAAGTAAGTCTGTATTACTGAAATGTTGAATTCAAGGTCTCTTCAGTGATATAATCCCTTGCATATAAATGTAGGTGAAGCACCCCACACATTAACAAGGTTTCCATATTATATATATAAATGAACAACAAAAAATTTAATTACTTCAATAGTACGTGTAAAAATAGCATTTTCATAATGCATATATATCTCAATTTTTGTTATACGCATATCATGAGCTAAACTATTTTAACATAGAAACTAATTATTAGCTCTTGAACTATACTCACTCCAAGTGCCATGGCATGTGCTATGCCAAATTTTGGAACATTTCGACCCCATAGGGGCTTAAAATGGTCAGTCAAGCAAATCTTTCCTCCTCTATAGAATAAAAAAAGTGTTTGAAAATTAATTTAGGTTACTGGTTTCAATGACAACTGTAGCATCTGTATTCTATACATATTGCATAATATGTCCTCATGACAACAGTCTTCAAGAAGATATTAATTCTTGATTAGTTAGATGTATGATTCAAGTAATTATAAAACATATCTTATAGAATTAAGACAACTTGCCATCATAAGAGGTGTTAAATAACAACAAAATATGATATATTTTTTGGTGCAAATAAAAAAAAATCTATTTGAAAAAATCAGAATATACATATCACTTGTAACAAAAATAACCCTACACTACACTTTATAATAACAGATAGTTGTTTCACAATTACAATACACATAGATTATTATTCTTCTTGTACCTAAAAAACAGCAAACTTACCAGACTACTGCTTGTAACTTGTAAAGTTTCATTTGCTTGATTAGGTAATTTTTCTTTTCACAAAATTCATAATATTAAAACAACTAAGAAAAATATATTCTCCCTCATGAAGTACTAGGTATGGCTAACTAATACACTGGTGTAAAATAAGGCCTGTCAAATATAATGATTGTGATTTATAAATCCTAAAAACAACAACAAAAACTTTTACCTATACATCTTTGCAGTTTTCCCATCTAATTCAGGAATGGCTATCTCTGGTGCTGTAGTAGGGTATGTCACTGGAATCTACAAGTAAAACACACATGTATATATAGATAATCAAATCTGCTTCAGTAGGATGATTTAAAACACACTACCTGTTTGACTCTTTCAACTATGTATTAGTTTTCTGACATTAGTTTCAATGATACATCGTAAATACTGATTAGATGAACAAAATTCCCTGTTCAGTTATTGCTAACATCTCAACATAATTTGATCAGTAATATGTGTGATATTATATCCAAATAAAACTGAAAATAACTAATCACATCCTTCTACTGACCAACACATGCTTCACTGGCCTAAGCATTATACACTATAAGATATAATAACTTAGCATATGGTTTTGTTCAATGTAATACCTATTATTTCAGATACTTGGCTAGAAAATGATAAAAAGATAATGCAATAAATTCTTGCAGATAACTTATATTGCATAAAATGTAGAGTAATATATGGAGGAAATATATTCTGAATAGAAAAAACTGTGAAATATAAATAATGATTGTTCAACATTATCCTATGAAAAATGTTAAAAATTAAGAAATTTAGCTTTTCTTTTTGTTTTCCCATTGTGTAGTCCTTATTTGATGTATCCAGAGGTTTGTTTTCAGTTTGGTTTTAAAATATGTATTGTTATGAGAAGCCCAATTAGCTCTGCAAAAATAGCATGGTCATATAAGTAAAGTTTTACTTACATCAAATTCAATAGCAAACTCATACTTCAGCAATTCATGAATATACCAACACTTGCCAAACCATCTGGTGCCATCTTTGTTGGATTCCAGTCTGAACCAATCATTGTCTGCATCTTTGTTGTTTTGTACATACTGAAATATATTTTAAAACTTAAATAACAAAATCAAAATATAGAAATTAATACAATTTTTTTTCACCAGGGTTTACTTAGTGTGAAAAGAACACTACGGTTTCATCCAATTCATCCAACTGTGACTACATAAAACTGTTTTCTATAAAGTTTGCTTTAAAAGTCATTAAGAGAAGCAAAAGTTACCTAAATTACTACTCACATTTATAGCTGAGTGATTAGTGGAACTTGCTAATAAATTAATTGTCATTACATCCAACTAACTGATTTTTCTTATGAGATAGCTCAAGAAACCCCTACAGAAACCTATTATTTTCATAAGATGGCTAAAAAAACATTATAACAAATATTGCCTTTGTGTTTGTTTGTTGTTGAGCTATCTGTACTCTGCCAACTTTTGTGAGCCATGACACAAATGATTAAGCTGAACAAACTTAAATTAATCAAAAATAATAATGTAAATGTAGTTGTAATATTTGAAACCAGTAATAACTGGAAACACTAGTTGATTATTTTCGTTACATTAATTGATTTATTCATAATTTTGAGTAAAATAGTACCATAAATTACATTAATCAATGTAATTGATGCACAAAGGAAATCAGTTATACTGATTAATTGAATTTACCACCCAGTGCTACTTACATTATCATGATTTCCAAATGTGAATACTAAAGAAGGTATATTTATGTTAGGAATATAAGTTTTAGGATGTTATATAGAATTTCAGTTGAAATGTTATGTAAAGAAAACATTTATCATATTTTAAGTAAGTAAAGTTTGACAACATTTATGATAACCAAAAATACAAGAATTTTGCTTAAGAATAGTTTTATATCATGAACATCATCCACATACATGGTATGAAAGGGAAAAAAAATTATATATTTTTCTTTTTTAGATGATTTTAGGGTGTCAAAATGACTGAAATGGCTTACCAGGTACTCAAAAGAGGAAGCAAAAATACGATGGCCTACACTTGGTATTAAATTGCCTAGTTACAGCTCTGTGTTCCATTTAACTTATAAATAAAACAATTCTATGTAAGTAAATTTTAAGTTATTAAATAATGTGGGTTGGGTGGAATACTAACAGTGATAGTGATAAATTTTTGAGAATGTATACCACAAAAATTAAATGTTTAATAATATATTTTAATACCTATTACCTAAAGAAACTTTATTCGAATATTCCAAGAGTGAGATATGACTCAAAAATTATTTATTTTCATTGTTATACACTTAATGCATGTATCCTGTTTGTAGATCTTAAACGTAATTTTGTAACAGTTGAACTGCCACGGTGACAGCTCTATCGACTAGTTCCAATTACCACGTCCACAACGACCACGTTTATAACTATAACAGTTAAGCCTATATTTACACTAAAACTTGGTAAAATATCCTGCTGTCTGTGAAAATAATTTAATATGTATCAAGTATTTTACCTTTATAAGTGATTGATACTCTTCTTTAAGACGTGTAGGCCATAGATCTTTGTCCCTTGGACCAGCTTTAGTTTTGAGTAATGGAATATTACTAAGAGTTTTCTTCGTTACTTCGTCTACCATATTGATACTAGAGTTAGAAAAAACACACAGTTGTAAAGACCGCAAGACGTGTTATTACTTATAATCTACCTTCAACTAATGTGGTTTATTTTCCAAGGTAAAATGTGAAAATTTGTGACTAAAATAATATTTGTAAGTTGGTTTACATATAATGCAAATAAAAACAAATCGTGAAAAGTAATCGTCAAGATAACTTAATATTAAACAATAATTAAATATGTGAATATTAGTACATGTTTGTTTTCTGTTCTGTGTTGTATCACCTTTTATTTCAATATCTTCGCAAGATTTTGGCTGTCTGAGTAGTGCGTTTTATGATACTGTTACGACAGCGGAAGTCACCTGACCTAGTAACACGTCAAATTCTCGAAGGTTCGTGAAGCCTCGAGTGTTTACTAGATATGCGGTATTCTTGTATATAAGACCGCCAACAACTGACGGCAATAATGCAGTTGAATTGCTGACAGAGATAAAGACGGACAGTTGGCTCGAGCGCGTGTGTCGTTCGTTGTGAATTATAGGGGCTGTTTAAATTATAGCGTGACTGTGGAAATTAAGTGTATTTTAAAGTTGTATTGAGAAAGAATAAACTAGTGTTATTTAAGAAAGGTCTTGTGTCGCTAAAGTTTCATCGGACAGAAATTATAATGGAAATTAACTAACGACCAGAGACATAACAAATTGGTGTCAGAAGTGTGATAAAAAAAAGAAGATGGAAACGAGAATCGGTAAATCAAACTACAGCTTATCAGATTTGATGGCAGCAATACAAGAACAGCAAAAGAAACAAGAAGAACGAGAAAATAAACAAGAAGAGAGACAACAGCAGTTGCAAAAAACCTGCAACAGCTGGAACAGCAAAATAAACAAGAGAGATTACAGCAGTTGTTGGAAGAAAAAAAAAAGAACGAGAAAAGAAACAAGAAGAGAGATTACAGCAGCTGTTGGAGGAAAAAGAAAAGAAACAAGAACAGAGATTACAACAGTTATTGGAGGAGAAAGAACATAAACAAGAAAAGAGACTACAGCAGTGGCAACTGGAAACAAGAAGTACAAATGGAAAACATTAGTAAATTTCAGAGCGAATTAAATACATTAAATGAGGATTTATTGTCTTCTACACAAGGAGGATACATTAACTATCGACTTAATCAGCCCCAGACAACAGCAAGCCCCTTCCAGACCCTGCAGCTAAACCTTAATGCAGACATCTTCAGTCCTGTTAGAAGTCACATCCCAGATATGAATGTCAGCAATAAGGGTAAACTAATACGAAGGAAGCCACAGGAATTCGATGGGAACCATATAGAGCACAATTTGAGCTACTGGCAGAGATGAATGGATGGACAGAGAAGCAGAAAGCAGTATATCTGGCAATGAGCTTGAAGGGACAATCACTGGAAATACTTGGACAGTTGTCAGCAGATGACAGACACAACTATAGAGCACTGGTAGTGGCTCTAGAACTCAGGTACAGAACCCAAAATCAGTCTGAAGTCTACAGGGCTAGTTTTAGGACGAGAGTCCGTGCTAAAGCGGAGAGCCTGCAAAAGTTGGCACAGGACTTGGAAAGTATGGCACACAAGGCCTACCCAACTGCACCACCTGATCTCCTCAAGCTGTTGCTGAGAGATCAGTTTGTAGACGCCTTGAACAGTCCACAACTAAAGATACAAATGAAGCAAGCACACCCCTCTACTATGCAGATCAACGGATGCAGCAACACTTACCGGAATTTGGCCTTTGTTGTTCCAAAACGTCATTTTATCGAAGTTAACTACACACTTTCTCGGTAGTAAGTAGTCCAACCCTAATATGCACGAGTCTTCAATGTTGGCCAAGTATACTTTGTGTCTGTCCTTTATGCCAATGATCTCAATAGTTACCCACACTGGTCCCCACAACC